CACCAAGGAACCGGTGGAAGAGGCTTCAAGCGATGACGACAATGAATTCGGGCTCGTCATCAAAAAGTTCCACAAGTTCATGAAGAAGGAATTTGAGCGAAAGGGAAGGAAGCACGACGGTCCTCCCAAATGCTACGGCTGTGGCGAGATTGGCCACATCAAGCCAAGGTGTCCAAAGGCCAAACACGGCAAGGACAAGTTTGGCTTCAAGAAGCAAAGGGCCTACATCTCTTGGGGTGGCGATTCCGGCGACGAATCAACCGACCAAGAGGAGGACGAAGCTGCAAATCTCTGCCTCATGGCACACGAAGATCAAAGCGACGATGTCCAAGAGGTATGTAACATTTCTTCCGACTCTTATACTTTTGAAGAAATGCAAGAAGCACTTCATGAACTCTATGAGGAATTTGTTAGCGCTTCTAAAACAAATAAATCTTTGAAGAAACGACTTTCTTTACTTGAAAACGATTTTGAGAAATTGGAAAAAGAAAATGAAACACTTAAACAAGAAAACAAATTTTTTGGAAAAAGAAGCGCTGACAAACCAGAAAGCTCATCAAGTGAATGTGGGTCTTGCAAAGCTTTAAAAGAGCAAGTCGCTAAACTTAAGAGCACGGTCAAGAAATTTAATACTCCTCATAAAGACTTAAATTTACTTCTTGACACTATGCATTTTTCTAAGGAAGGAATAGGTTTTGATAAAAATAAAGCTAAAGATAATGTTGAGCCACCACCTAGACAATCATCTAAGGTTCAACATAAGAAACCTAAAAATCAAGATAATAGAAAATCTAGTCAACCTAAGGACACCAGATAACCTAGACTAAAACCTAGGAATGAAAACGGTCATGGTAAGAAAAATGATTTTGTGCATAAAAATGAATTTTCTCAAATAAGAAGAAATGATGCTAGAACACCTAGAAGAGGCCAGTTTCAAAATTTCCAAAAACCATCATTTTCACAAAATAGGAACAAAATGGTTAAACCTTCTAACTATTATGAACCTAGGCACATGTACAGCCCCAATGTAGTCTGTCATTATTGTAATAGGATAGGCCATATTGCTCCCGTTTGTTACACTAGGCATAGGCACCTGTCACAAAATCAAGCACACTACCATCACACACCTAACATCCGAGGACCCAACGTAAATTGGGTACCTAAAACTCATTGATGTGTTTTATAGGTGTGCTTGAAGGCATCGAGTGTACTTTGGTACCTTGATAGCGGATGCTCCAAGCACATGACCGGGGATGCATCCAAGTTTCTCCAAATCAAACCCGCTAAAGGAGGAAACGTAGTTTTTGGAGACAATAGCAAGGGAAAAATTATCGGCGTTGGTTCAGTAGGTAAATCTGAAAACTCCTCTATAGATAATGTCTTGCTTGTTAAAGGTCTTAAACACAATCTCTTGAGCATAAGTCAATTATGTGACAAGGGAAACCGTGTGACCTTCGATTCAAAATCATGCACGGTAGAACGCCTTAGTGATAATAAGGTCATTCTACGTGGTGATAGAATCGATAACATATATATGGTTAACTTAGACAAATCTCCTTC